GGGTGGTTCGTATGCTTTTCTCGTTGATCCACCGTACATATTCCTGACTCACTATTCCTTTTGTTGATTTTCTTAACCGCTCAATTTTCTTTATTACCTCCTCGATATTATTTGCAATATATTGGTTTTGCGCTTCAGCTGAGAGTTCATAGAAACTCTCAAAAATGCATAATCTTTCTTGCTTAATAAACTTTTCATTACATTTTCGCCGACATTTGCAAGATTCTCTTATATGCTTGGCAAGAACAAGATTACCTTTTGATGAATGATACTGTTTTCCTGCAGCTTTAAGACTCTTCTTTATTTGCTTTTCCCACGTTTCTGGCTGTCTTTTTCGTTTTCTCGTTAATTGGCCTTTATCTTGCTTTTTCCTTCCTCTACATTTCCTGGTCAAGGTGTGTACCCCAATAACGTCTGTAGTCACATAGACTTCTGTTCGCTTACTGTACTTCTTTTTCTCACCAAATGATCAGAACTCATATCAGAGTCAGATGAGTCGGAACTGGGAATGAATTCATCTGAGCTGCTTTGATTCACGTCATCATGTTTTTCTTGTGCGATATCAGAAACATCTGTTGAACTGTGCGCTTCCATTACTTGAGGCTGCGTTGTACTGCATACTTCCCCAGAATGGTGTCAGAGCCAGAGCAAGATGTGCCAGGTAACGAGCAACTTGGATTCCAAAGATGAGAGCTGTTTGTCTCAGATTTACCTAAAAAGGAAGTTAACAAAAACCAATCTCGAGTTTTAACAGCTGGACTTAAGTGGGTCTGTTGACAACAGTTAGCGCGAAAGCTAATATACATGTATCTCCATACACTGACTAAATGACATGGTTTAATACATAATGTATCTTTTCCGCAAATTGATGGTATATAGAAACTGTATCGAGAAACTATTCATAACAATTAAATTTTAATTTAATCCACTAAACGGTAACAGGTTAGTTGTAACAATAACATGTGTTAAAAATAATTATAACAGCCCGTTAACACATAGTTGTCAGCCAATGCTATCCTGCATTTCTATTATTACTAACTAAAACGAATAAAAAAAATACATAGGTAACCTAGTTTTACAAAGTCAATCGATGCCGATTAGGAGACATAACCTCAAAAACGTTATCTTAAAGAAAGTCATTAATAAACTTACCTTGTTCTTGAATATTCAGCTCTCTACCGAGTTGGACAATCCTTTTACATCGATCAGACACAGTTTTAAACATTTAACACACGTCAATTGATGAGTTCAGCTACAGTGATTTTGGGCGAACCACGTGTTGCTCACTCGATTACTTGGCCAGTGTCAACAGAGTAAGAAAATATCTTTCGTTAGAAAGGTCGATGTAGACTTAGGCCGTACTACAATGAAACAACCTCTTTAACCCCGGGCCTATGTCTACTGTGACCGTTTTTATAAAATATGAAACATTCTAGTAATTTACGTTGGCCTTGGTGGAATTTCCATACAGTGCTTATAGCAGTTCATAGACTTACGACCTTTTTACAAATAAAACTATTAATATTTCTCAGTAAGAATTAGGGCCAAACTCAATTTCGAATAATTTTGACATTGGTCCTTTTAGAACCAAGCCACAGAATTCTATTGATATGAAATTGTTTTAAAATGAGAAGTGTCATAAAAATTCAATATTGTTATTAATTGGAGGATATTTATTACTTTTAAATTTTGACAATCGTTACGAACCGAATCTTTTATTGACAGATTTGATATTATTTTAATTTTTTACTTCTCATTTATTGCCTGTATTTTGTTAGTTATTTTTCACACAGTTTTTAATTTAAATGCTTAGAATACATATATAATGACTAGAAACGAATTGATTGAGAGTAGTGAATCGATGAGAAGAACAGCTATTTCGTGACGCTACCCGTGACGTCTTCTCGATGTGACGCTCGGCCCAGCATTTTACTATAGAAAAAAAAACTAATACAATTCCAGTATAGAAGCTTCGCTGCAATAATTTGTTGCTCCCGTATTTCCCTAAATTGTTTAAATATGGGATTTTTAACAAACTTGTAGTAAAATCTGTATTTTAGTAAAAGTGGTTAACACCTCCTGTAATATATCCTTAATATATCGTACATAACAACTTAGATAAAATGCACAACGACAATTTTCAAAGATGCTGTGGTTGCGCAATTACTTACACCTAATTGGATAGATAAGTATTATTCACGTGAGCTTAAAAAGGTCAAGCTTTTTTGTCTTAATAGGCTGTTCATTATTTTTTTATCGTTTTAAACTGACTGATCGTAAAAATGAAATAGTAAAGACATCAATAACGTCTAACCATTTTTTTAGTTATTTTTTATATAATTTTTTTATAAAGGGTGTTTTTTTTAGAGGTATAGAGCATTGAAATTGAATAAAACAAAGATGATTTTTATCAATTGACATGAAGTTTTATCAATTGACAAGCTTGACAGTTTATTTATGAATGTATCCTATTCTGATTACAGTATTATCATATTCAACGAGACTGGGTTGACATGTAACTATGCCAATGAACAGCTGCAGTTGTTTGATCTCAACATATTTAGAACTGATCTATAGATAAATAATATAATGAACTGATCGCTCCAGGGAAACAAGTTCATTTTCAAGAGGTGGTAGAGTCCTTATTACAGTTTATAAGAGCTTTAGCAGTAGATGTTTAACAATTAACCAGACAATCGAACAACTTTTTGTCTTGGTGACTGATTTAGAAATATTCCATATTTTGTGAAACCTTAGAACAAATAGCTGAAGTTTATCCATCTGCACACTATTATCTGGCTGCTGACTTGAATGTATCAAACTGTGAATTGTTTTCAAATGACATGTGCTCTACAACAGTTCTTCTACCATCTGCCACAGCATCTGATTGTTTCAGTCCAACCCTATTGGGAATTCCACTGGTAATATTCTCGATTTTTTGCTGGTTGACGATCCTGATGTAACTGTGTTCAGGGCAGATGAAGCTCTTTTGAGGGAGGGTATGCACCACCCACCACTGGAATTTGAGATAAAGATGGCCAAAAGATGTCCCAATAGTAGTGGTTTGGTTAGTGATGGTTTCTATAGGGACTTTAAGTCAGCTGACTATGTGAAAATAACGGATTTTTTATCACAGTTCTGTTGGTATAATTTTGCTTGGTATCTGAATCGGTCTTGATATCTGAAACTCCTTTGAAGAGCTGTCTCGCTTGTTTGTTCTTTTGTCTATACATTTCATTGTTGTTGTGCGAGGGGTTTTGTAGCATGTTCCTTCTAGCCATATTTCTTGCTGTTATGGAGTTCAGGCAATCATCATCGAACCATTTTTTTGTTGTTTTCCTTTTGTGTCCTAGTATTTCATCTGATACGCTTGTCAGAGCTAATTTGATATTTTTCCAAGCTGAGACTATGTTGTTATAGTTTTCTGTCTGTGTTAGAGCGATTTTTATAGCCTTTTGGAATTTCTGTTCTGTCTCCTTATTACGTAGAACTTCGGTATTCCATAATTGTGTTGGTGTTTTCTTGTGTGTTTTTTTTGGACGCTATTCTTGTCCTTATCTTCGCTTTTACCAGAAAATGCGTGTCTCCATCAGCTCCTCTTAGGCTTCTTACGTCTAGACAGTTACTAACCCTCCTGGCATCTAGAACATGATCGATCTGATTTCTTGTGACGCCGTTTTTGGAGACCCATGTTTATTTGTGTATTTTCTAGTGTTCGAACATTGTCGATTTTATTAGTAGGTTGTGGGATGCTGCAAAGTCTATTAACCTTGTTCTTTGCATTGAACCAATCTTTGCATTGAAATCTCCTAAGATAATATGCATGTCCTGTTTGGGTAGATTATTTATCAGTTCCTCTTGTTTCTCATAGGAGTTATCTTTTACATGCTCTTCCTTTTCCTATGTCGGTGCATAGGCAATAATCACGGAATAGTTATGTAGTTGTCCTTTGAGTCTGATATAACAGAGTCTTTCATTAACGGGTTTGAAAGTTAAGACTGACCCCACAAGGCTTTCCCTGACTATAAAACCAGTGCCGAATTGATGTTCCCGTTCGCTTCCGCTGAAAAATACTGCTGATTTATTAGTTTTTAGTGTACCTTCTGCAGCTTATCTAATCTCTTGTAAAGCAGTTATGTCCAGGTTTCTGGATTCAAGTTCTTTGACCACCTGAGTTAGGGCTCCAGGCCGATATAGTCTTAGTACGTTCCAGGTTCCTATATTCATTGTCCTTTGTCGTCGCTTTTGTCGTCTTAAAAGATCTGCCCTTATCCGAGGCATGTGCTTCGTTTTCATAACTGTGTTTTTATTTCAAGAAGGAATAGTTAGTCCCTTGCTTAAACCTCCTTCCTCATCCTGGACTTGGGATCAGGCAAGGGCGAAGTTCTTTCATCATCACAGTCATTAACATCTTAGTAGATGTGTTGTGGTTCACAATTGGGCTTCAGCAGCTCGGACAGTTTGATTGATAATATTTCTCCACTGGTCGCGGTCATCAGTTATATGTATTGCCTCAGTATACTGTTTATTGAGAAGCTTTTTAGTAATGTCCGCCCATCGCTGTGGAGATCTTCCGCGTTAGCGTTGAGTCTGAGGCCTTCCTTGGACCACCAACCGCTCCATTTTGTGATCACTTCGATGGATATGGCCAAAGAACTTTAAAATTCTAGAGTAAACGGTACTGGAGAGACGCTGATCTGGTTTAATTTCATCCAGAACTGAGATATTTGTACGGCGAGCCGTCCATGGAATTCGAAGCAGGCGTCTCCATGTCCACAAATATAAATATATTTTAAATTTCATTATATAATATATTTTTTTAATTTCAATTATTTTTTTCAGAGTTTTTCTACCAGCTGTTAGCAACAGCACCGTATGGCAGTTAAGTGCCAAATTTCCAAAAATTGGCAGGAGCCACCAGTTTCTACACATATGACACACCGAGTAACCACTATACACCTTGCGTCTTTGCGCAGACAGTTTTGTAGAGATTTGAAAGAATGGCCGACCAGAACACGGATACCAAAAAGGTATCATCTAATAAAATTCAACTTGAGAAAATTAAGCATCCATTAGAGACTCAGGATGAAGTAATCCAGTCGAACGGAAATATTTCAGAAAAATTGCATACTCCGTTAATCAAAGAACAGCTTAATAATACAATTACGCTTTTTTCTCCAACCAATGCTTCGAGAGCAAAACCAGGTCTTATACTAAATGAGAAAAATAATATTAAAAAACAAAAGATTAAAAACAATAATGTATATGCCAATCCCATCAACTCAGACAATCTAGTAACCCAAAAATTACTGCTTTGCAATAAGGTAAGTAAAAAGATTAATTAATAAAAACTTATTTTTGGTTAACTTTAACGAAAGTTCAAGCTGAATATAGCCGCAAATGTCAATCATGGTACAAAATATTTCGGTTTGGCAGTGTTGGGATGATTTTATTGTATGCTTCAAATATAAAGAGAGAACATAGTACATTTTGATTTAGAGACCATCCAACAACTGCAACCATTTGGTCGAATTTGTCATTGGAATTATCGGATATTGTCTGACGGATTATGAATGTCACAGGTACACAAGTTCCTACTTTTGTCTCTTTCTTGATTTTCACTGGGTAGACATTGACATTAATAAGTCTCACAGGTATTTTTTTAGCCGAAGTCACCAATTCCTTTCCAATTATGATTCCTCGGCCAACCTCATCGTCATGGTTCCAAGGCTCCATTTTAACAGGTGTCCCTTCGTCCAAAATTCCCTGTAACTGCGCTACTATGATCGTTTCACTTCTCACAGGCACCAACTTTGATTACCTTATTCTTAAAATCCAATTGTAATCCATGCATATTCATTACGTCCATTCCTAATATAACATCATCCTCGATGTCAGCAACTATAGTGTTCGTATTAATGGCGTATAATGTTTCTGGTCGCTTTGGTATCCACCAACAACGTATGCCTTTTACCATTTATTTCTCCATCTACATGTACACTATCTTCACGACATTTTAAAGAAGCTATTAGTATGAGAGGGTCTTTGGAAAAGTTCCGGGTCGAAACTGCCTCCCTAAGGTCGACCCGTTCTAGTTTTCTTGATGGTAGGTTTTCTTGTATGTAATACTTTTCACCATATTAATGAGTTGGTCAAGTTTATCTTCATCTCCTTCCTCTTTCACAGACCTAACTTTACTTTATAACCTCAGGTACAGAATATTAATATACAGAGTGGCCCAAAAGTCTGGAAACGGCTAATTATCTCGTAAATTACTAGACATAATTATACAAAATTTGAGATATGCCTATTTTGGGATACGGAGATTCCATATTTGGTATTTGCAATGTTGCCAGATTTTCAGTTTCTCTTATATTACTAGTAACTTTGGTTTTTCAAATGCATCACCCTGTATATTCAATCATTATTGGAATCTCCTATTAAATACGAGTTCAACCATATGTAACACTTATGATTTTATGTAGTCTGGAAGGTCTTAAATACATAAAACAAAAGTCTGGCAACGCCTAAATTGTTTCAATACATTTTTTAATACCAACTATTTTCAAATACATTAAAACGTAACCATTGATAGTTTAGAATATTTTTTAACATAATAGTTACGTTATTAAGTGTTCAAAATGTGCTTCATTTGTGAGTTGACAGAACTCTAATCGATGGTAGAATGCGTCTACCACATTTCTCCATGATTGTCTAGAAATTATTCGAGATTCATGAATAATTCATTGCCTTAGCTATACAAGACTTGCTGGTTAAGTTTTGTAAACTGAATTTTTCAAGTATCTCTTATAAAAATAATCTTTAGGATTGAGATCGGGTGAACGTGGAGGCCATTCAATTCTACCTTGTCTACCAATTTATCGTCCGGGAAATATCTCATCTAAATAACGCCGAACATTTACACCAACTATCTGACGTTAAATTTCTTTCGATAAAAAATGGCCCAATTAAATAAGTACCTACTGTAACTGACCATACATTTAATTTTTGTGGTATTTGAGTATGGTTTTCCGCATTCAGTGTGAATTTCACACGAGTTCAGCTATTCAATACGAGTTCAACCATATGTTCACTTGATTTTATGTAGTCTGAAAGATCTTAAATATATAAAACAGTGCAAAATATGTAGATTTTAATAAATTTAAATATTTAAATGGAGAATGCTGTGATTTTGACATTTGTTCACCATTTAAATTATGAACTAAAATTGACATTAGTTGTGGTTCAAACAGTTCTGCAATTTAAATTGCTTCTCTAAAATGCCGTTCTCTAAACCGTTCTCCTATTCAAAAGACGACGGTACAAAAAACTGTAAGGCGATTTGAGGAATCTGGAGAAGTAAAAGATAGATACCAATCAGGTTGACCGAAACGAGTTATCAATGACAACAAAACTTCAGATATAAGCAAAGTTTTGTTGAAGATCCACATACATCCCCAGGCAGGGTTGCACAAGTACATGATGTAGGCCATTCTTCAGTCTTACGTTTATTACGTAAAAATAAATTTAAATCATACAAAATTAACTTATTGCAAGAATTAAGTGAAAATTACTTTGGTCGTAGATTAGAGTTTACTGAGGTAATGATGGATAAAATTGAAAATTATTAAAATTTCGTTAACAGAATATGTTTTTCCGATGAAGCAACTTTTACACTGTGTGGAAGTGTAAATCGACACAATTTAAGGTACTGGTGTGACGTAAATTCACACTGAAGACTGAATGCGTGAAAACCATACTCAAAGACCACAAAAATGAAATGTATGGTCAGATATAGTATGTAGTTACTTATTCAATTGGGTCATTTTTTGTCGAAAGAAATTTAACGTCAGGCAGTTGGTGTAAATGTTCGGCGATATTTAGATCAGATATTTCCTGGACGATAAATTGGTAGACAAGCTAGAATTGAATGGCCTCCACGTTCACCCGATTTCAATCCTAACGATTATTTTTATTAGGGATACTTGAAAAATTCAGTTTACAAAAGTTAACCAGCAAGTCTTGCAGAGCTAAGGCAACGAATTATCAATGAATCTCGAATAATTTCTAGACAATCATGGAGAAATGTGGTAGACGCCTTCTACCATCGATTAGGGTGCTGTCAACTCACAAATTGAGCACATTTTGAACACTTAATAACGTAACTACTATGTTAAAAAATGTTCTAAACTATCAATTGTTGCGTTTTAATGTATTTGAAAATAGTGTTAAAAAATTTATTGAAACAATTTAGGCGTTGTCACACTTCGGTTTTATGTATTTATGACCTTCCAGATTACATAAAATTATAAGTGTTACATATGGTTGAACTCGTATTGACTAGGAGATTCCAATAATAACTGAATATACAGGGTGATGTATTTGAAAAACCAAAGTTACTAATAATATAAGAAAAACGGCAAATCTGGCAACATTGTAAATATCAAATATGGAATCTCCGTATCCCAAAATAGGTGTACCTCAAATTTTGTACAATTATGATTAGCATTTTACGAGATAATTAGCCGTTTTCAGACTTTTGGGCCACTTTGTATAATACTTACGAATAAGCTGAAATGATGTTGGGTAATGGAATCGAAACAAGACCAGCAAAAATCAACTGAGGCGTAAGACAAGGAGACACAATATCTTTAAAATGATTTACAGTTGCCCTAGAAGATATCTTTAAGTCAATAGACTAGGAAAATAAGGGAATTCCTATTAACGGAACATATTTGAACCATCTTAGATACGCAGATGATGTAGTACTAATAGCGACACGTGGAATGCACTGAATACGATGATTGAGGAGCTACACACAGAATCCCTAAACAAGGACTGAAAATGAATTTCAGCAAAACCAAACTGATGTCAAACAAAGATGACAAACCTATGATAAACATCCAAAGGACAGAGATAGAACACGTAGATGAATATACATATCTGGGTCAAAATGTCAAGATACGCAAAGAAAATCAGACTACCAAAATAAACAGACGTGTAAAAAATTATAAAAGTACTTTGCAGGTAGTAAACAATAAATTGAAACTTGTTAGAAATTGTAAACTAACAATGTGTTTTTGGTCCTACATGTAGTTTGACAACCAACTTCTACAACTTAATAACATTAGTAACAATTAAAAATATTTCGTTCGTACCTCGTAAAAATATTTTTCATTAGACAGAGTAAATAAATTAAACTGTTTCATATGTCAACAAATCACTAAACAAACAGATAAACAGCTACAACTGAATTCAAACGATATTATCATAATTTCTAAAGAAAAATATATAAACAAAAAGACTTTCAAAAGAATTACATGTGTACTGTAGTTAATTGGTAGGTACTTTAAATAATTTTTATCTTTATACATTAATAAAATGATTCTTTTATGCTTAAACATTGATAAACAATAATGTTAGAGACCTAACAATGTAACCAGAAATAACGATTTCGATTGTATATAAATTTCTTGCTCCAAAAACTATTGGAGCACACACACATACACACATTCTCTGCGGCGAGTTCTATTCACAAGTGGGTTCATATCGTATTCTTTGTATTGTAATTGAATAGAATATGAATATATTGTTATTTTACAGGAAGAAGACGACAAGCCAGTTTTACATGTCCAATTTAACAGTGATAGTCGTAGTCAAATGTCTGCAGTAAAAAAATCATGTTCTAGTGTTAATTCAGATATTTCTTCGTCTTCCAGTGAATCTTTAGATGACATTTCAGAAACTAGACCACCCGACGGCGGTTGGGGCTGGATTATAGTTTTAGCTTCTTTTGTAGTAAATTTAATAGCTGATGGTATAACGTTCAGTTTTGGCGTGATTTTTGTTGAATTCTTAAATTATTTCGGAGAAAATCGTGGCACGACAGCATGGGTCGGTGGTTTGTTTATGGCTATGCCACTTCTATCCGGACCAGTTGCTTCTTTTCTTACAGACCGGTATGGATGCCGTACAGTGACAGTTTGTGGAGCCATAATGGCATCTTCAGGGTTTGTGATCAGTTCGACAACAAATTCCATGACAGTACTTTGTATTACCTTTGGTGTTTTGTCTGGCTTTGGTTTGAGTTTGTGCTACGTAGCTTCAGTAGTAATAGTTGCTTATTACTTCGATAAAAAACGTTCTTTTGCTACTGGATTAGCAGTGTGTGGGAGTGGGATAGGAACTTTCATTTTCGCACCATTAATTCAACTTCTTCTTGACGAGTACGGATGGCGAGGCACGACGTTGATTCTCGCCGGCCTCTTTTTAAATTTAATTGTTTGTGGTGCACTTATGCGGGACTTACCGTGGACGTCACAAAAGCAGAAAAAGTTGGCCAAAGAACGAAAGCAAATAAGATACTTAAAACGTAAACAAAAAGAAGCATCAGCCGATTCTTTTTCTGTTAGCAACAGTACAAATACAGCAAGTGTGTTACAAGCAATCACGGAAGAAAAGGAACAGGACCAGGACATTTGCGATAAAAGATTGAGCAGCTCCTTGATAAATTTGCCCACGTATGTGAGGAATGGAGAAAAGGTTCCTTTGGAGGTTCGTATATTTTCTTTTACCTTATCCAGCGTAGACATATTATGTAATTTTTATTTAACCCTCTCCAGCCCAAATTATTTTTTTTGAGTAAATTTTGTTGAAAAAAATTTATGTTATAGAAAATGATACAAGAAAAAATAATTGTTGATAGCTTTTTCAAAAATTTTGTATCCTACAATCTGCAAACTTAAAAAAAAATTGAACCCATTTTGAATCATCTGGCATTGGTGGTACCTGAATTATGTCTGGTAAAAAATTGACTATAATAGGAAATACGTTTATTATTGCACTTTATTAACAATTTAATTTTGTACATGGAAACTATAAAAACAATTTTTATTATTGTTTAAACATAAAAAAAAACATTGCACTTCGAACATTTTATTCTAGAGTAAGACTTTATACATAATCATGTAGCGTCCTACTTCATCAAATCGAACATTTCGCACTGGTGCAGGATGCAGTAGTTGTCTCTTAGTTGGTGTATTCTCTTGAGAAGGACGTCCTCGCTTCCTTGTGTCGGATTTTCCAGCTTTTAGTAACGCATGTCCAACTTGGGATTTGAATTGGAGAAGGGGGATGTGTTTCACTTGTTTTTGTTTGCAGTGTCTTCAGTATAGCAACCAGGAGTTGACAATACATGTATCAATAAGATTAAATATTACTCTCAAATAGAATCTTTTTGGCTTGATTTTGATTCTATATAGTTCCACAAGCATGTCATGCAAATCTACACCACCCATCGAAATGTTATATTCTTTGACAATTGCTGGCCGTTCGATGCCTACATAGGTTTTACTCTTGTTGCACCATCTGTTCACTTTACCAAGAGGATATTTTCCTATATAGTTCGATGCTAATGTGACAGACTTATTGTCATACCATTTGAGAGCAGCAATATTTTTTTTGCTGTCTATTTTTACATCAGAGGATCCACGACCTTTTGCCATTAGAACTTTGTCTTCTAAAAAACGACAACCTACCAGCCGCCCACTTCTTACAGTCCCCGCAGCAAGGAAGCCCCTTTTTTTCAGAGTAACAAGTAGATTATAAGATGTGAACCAACTATCAGTGAAAATCTTGAAATTCATGTGGTTTGGCAGATTTCTGACCAACTTCAGTATTATTTCCCCACTAATTCCAAGACCTGATTCATCTTGCACTGTCCCTTTTCCCACATATATCTCAAAATCGTATAGTATGCCGCTGCGTCCTGCTCTTGCAAAAACCTTTATGTCCCATTTATGAGGTTTATTTTTTATATATTGCTTTAGGTTGCTATGTCCTTTGAATGGTATAATAAACTCAACGATGCTGTTGAATTCTTCAGGTTCTATCTTATTCATATTTTGCTGAACTTTTTCAATGAACGGTTTTACTTTATATAATTTGTCATTGTTACTAGGCGAGACTTTCAAATTATTGTTGACGTGAAAATATGCTCGCAGTTTATTAAAACGATTACGTGACATGATATCAGCTATCGTATTATATCGTGTTTCTTCTGCCCAATACATTCTATATGAAGGAACACGAACAAGTCCACTCAATATATGTATGCCTAAGAACTGCTCTATCTCTGCTGCATTTGTATCAATATTTTTACTGTCTTTTTGCACAGAATACAAGTTTGTCTGCTCAGCAAAATTTTGAATAATATCATTGTCACAAAACATTTTAAAATATTGAAAAGGTGTGTAAATATTTTCATCAACCGAAAACTCACCGGTGTACTCACTGTTTACATCAATTAAATCGTTGTCTGTCCAAGTTGGTTTTTCTGTGCTTTTGTTTTTCTTGGCATGACTTGTTTGTGGCTGTTGTGTAATTTCTTCAACATTTTTTTCTTCCATATTCTCTGTAACTTGGGTGTTCAAGCTAGCTTCAACAATATTTTCCAATAATTCTTCAATTTGAGTTTTTTCAATCATTTCGTCTTCCAAAGCCTCTTCCTCATTATCAACATCGAATTCGATATCAGAATCATCAAGAAGACCAACTAGCTCTTCCTGGGACATATTTTGCAATTCCCGAAAAGAAACTTTGGTTTTGTTATTTTTGAATAAACGATCCATCTGAAATGAATTGCATTTTTGTATTTTATTGACCGAAACAAAATTCACACGACTTCCCAATGATGCCATTTGGGGACCACCGCAATAGCCCAATGATTCAATTTGGATTCATTGATATTTATAATGTTTACATAAACAATCTTGCAAATATGAGCAAACTATAATGCAAATTATCAAATAAAAACAATGTAAGAAACAAATATATTTTGTTCATGCAATTACTTGTTCAATTACTTACCTTAGTAATGATTTGAAATTTACAGTGAATTGTTGATCGATGTCACTTCGAAGTTTTACATTCAAATGTGACTAACGCTTACCGATAGAACTGCCAAATAAATTAATGCAGCGTCATCTAGCAGGAAGGTGAAGCAACGCAATGTTCGCCCAACTGATATAAAGTAGTTTTCTATGTCACTAAAGCAGAAAACATTACCATGATCCCAAATGGGATCATCTGACTGGAAAGGGTTAAAACTATTCATTCTGTTAGTTACTAGTAAAGAGTGCACAAAATGCAAAAAACATCTTAAAAAAATGCAAGGTTATGCTTTAAATATAAAAATAACGTTTAAAAATATGCAGATGATGTAATTTTTTATTTTTTTTTTATTTTATTTATCCACATCAACAATTGTTTATGATACAAATAGAGAAAATAAGATACTGTATTTTGATGTTTAATAAAGAATAAAACTGCATATAAAATAATGTGAATATAATATAAAAATACATCATAAACACGTTCTTTTACAAAATTTTAAAATATTTTTTTCTTTGACATTAAATAACAATTTTTTTTTTAATTTTCTGTAACCTCCTTTAGCTTCGATGACATCTTTGAACCTCCTTGGCATGCTTTGAATGTTTCTGAGGCAGTCTTCTTTTATTTTATCGTTTCTGTGCCAGGTGGTAATGAGTCTCTCAAATAACTGCTGCTTATTTGTGACAGTTTTCAGGGTAATCCCTCTCTTCATAAGCTCCCATAGATTTTCGATCGGATTGAGGTCTGGAGAATTACCTGGCCACCTCGGTACTTTAATTTTCTTTTTTTTCCAGGTACGATGTTACTGTTTTTGCCTTATGGCACGGTGCTGAATCGTACATAAAAGTAAAATCCTCCGATTCGCCAAACTAGTCTTTGATTTGTGGCATGAGGTTTCTTTTTAGAACTTTTTTATACTGATGTTGATTCATCATTCCATTCAAAATGTACAGCCTCTGCGGTATAAATACTACAGCTGTCAGTTAATCTAGTGGCAGAAATTACGTTTTCTGATACAGGAGCAGCTGCTACTCCGTTGTAATCTTTGGAGGTATCAGTAAAGAACATTTTGTAAGTGGAATATTTGAGTACATTTGCATGATACTGAAGCCCGACCTCAGAAGATGTGTGAATGCTTATCATGATTAAGGAGAGGTCTACTATTGGTAAAGAAACTGGGAGGTGTCTGGTATATTTTTATGGGTGCCAAGGTGATTTGATTGATATAATAGGGTGCCAAGGTGATGGGTGTCTTGGTGGTGTAACTTGTGTATGGTTCTAGTGATTCTTCCGATACTAAACTTGCGCTTACTTTGCGCTTAGAATTTTTGAAGCGTAGCATAGTGATAGACATTATCTTCGGAGGTATAGTGGCATTTCTCCTGCTAGCACTTGAAGACTTCTTATTGGAGTAGTTCTAAAGGCTCCAAAGATTAGTTGTAGATATGTGGTTTGAATAACATCCAGTTTTTTTAAGTTGATTTTTATTTGCTGTTTTATAATAGATGCATCCATAGTCGACTTTGCTTTTTATTAATGCCTGATAAAAATGTAGAAGAATTTTAGTATCTGAACCCCATCTATGATTGGATAAAACTCTTAGTAAGTTTATTCTTTGTTGACAGGATTTGATCAAATTGTTGATATGTGAAGTCCATATGAGTTGTGAGTCAAATATTACACCCAAAAATTTGATTTCGCGGACTTGTTTCAAGGAATGACCATTTAGACACAAGTTTAAGTTGTATTCTGCTCTTCTTTTATCAAACATTATTACTTTAATATTCTCAGTTGAAAAAGTTAAACCAGTCTCTAAAGACCACATTTGTAAGCTGTTTAATGTTCTCTGTAAAATTTATGTAACTAATTCTATATTTTTACTTTTAACATATATTACTAGATCATCAGCAAAAAGATTAGCTTTTACAGGAAGCTTTATGTGGTTTGTTATATTATTTATTACGATTGAGAATAATAGTGGACTTATGACCGATCCTTGAGGAATTCTTTACTTGTATGGACCTGTTTTATAGAAAGTTTTTGGTGAAAGCGAGAAAGTTATCATCTATTTTCCAGTTTTTCATAATTTTGAGGATATAATGCGTCCAAGTTGTTATAAATTGTTTTAATATTTGAACCAAATTTAGAATATTTAAACACTAAAACTACTTTGTGGGGATTTAAAGTTCTATTTATTTATTTTAAAGAATCAATTACTACAACATATTTATATATCGGAAATATTTTCAATTGAAAATGCATTGATTTTAAACGACTAACATGACAAGGTTCAGGTAAATTTGATAAAAAATGCAAATAAATAAAGTGTTAAAAAAAGCAAAGTACGAATTCACAAAAACATGCAAAAAAGTTGCATATTATCCGCCATTTAGTTATGAGATATATGGATAGTGCTATTTTTGTAAAGCAAACCTCTGTGCCAGACATTTTCAAAAGTCTGTTTTCTTTTCTTCAAGACTTTTTGATATTTCATTTATCATTCGATGGACTTGTTGGGTAATGGAGTAATTTTCCAGAAAACCAAATATGTTTTGACAGTAATGTTAGGAAATCATGATCTGTGAATATCCTTTGTAGCAGCAATCTTTTAAAAACTTTGTTTACTGTTGGGAGTAGGCTGCTGGATCGATAAGATGTTACTTCATTGGGCTCTTTTTTTGGCTTAACGATAATAACGATTTCAGCAAATTTCCATATTTTTGGAAAGTATGATAAGCTTAGCATTAGATTAAATATAACTGGTAGCAAAGTAATGGTCTTGCGAGAAAGTTGCTTTAGTACTTGTGCTAAAATTAAATCATAACCTAGGGTCTTTCTTGAATAAAGTTTGTTTATTTCTTTCTTGACTTCTATACGAGTAAAACTTTTAATCAAGAGGGAGATTTGACATGCTGCGCTAATTAGTTCTTCCACTTCTTCGTCAGGGTCTGTTGCAGGTTCAGCAAAGACATCCGCTTTTTCTTTGTTGGAACTAATATTATATATTCTTTTAAAATTATTTTTATTAAACATGAAAATGGATATTATAAAATAAGTACCTTGGTATATTTTTTTATGTCTCTTAACTGATAAATTTGTGAAATTTTAGGTTTTAGAGCTGTTAGCGCGAAATAAGACTGTAAATAATGTACTAGCAGCAAACTATCCAAACCTTCTCGCTTCTTCTAGAAGTTTTAGCGATTCTGGGAAAGTTCACGAAGGGGTAATCAATTCCAAACATGCAGCTACCCAATCCCAACTGCCAGATGTTAGTAATAATGTTAATTGCCTTAATTCAAATATGTGGGCTCCCAAAAAAGAGACCGAATCTCTACCTCTCAATAATGCTCATAAAAAAGTACCTACAGCTTACTTAAGGGATCTCAGAATTCACAGGCTCTCTGTTACGTATAGGGGAGCTATGCTTAATATAAACAGGTAAATATTTATTTATTTCTTTGTCTCACTAATTTTGGAAAAGAATGGAAAGTATTTTGAAGTGTGTGAACATTTATTTTCTAGTTTAGGGCTTACAAAGCCATCTCGGAGCTGTGGTCAAGTTTTTAAAAAGTACCACTACTTAGGAGAGATTTCATTTTGATAGAAAAATCCACAATTTTTCTTTAATCTATTTCTTTTTGTTAAAATATTTCTTTGGAAAAAATACATGAAAAATTGTACACTGGACCCCTCAAAAAACACATTAAAAATTTGGTTATGGTACGAGTATCAGAATCCAACCATTTGTTAGAGTTAAAGCAGCAACTCTAGACCAACTCTAAAAAATGGTCTAAAAAATGTTTTAATTTGTTTTTTGTGGAGTCCAGAATCCAGTCTTTTCCTCCAAAAATGGCTTTGGCCACCAAAAAAATTGGAAAAAACTTAATAAAAAACTCTCGAATGCCTAGTCAAATAGTTAAAGTGAAAAATAACTTCAAGATTTCAATGTCTGATCCGATTATTAATAAGAATGGAGTACCACAGGGCTCAATATTGGGCCCTATATTATTTATTTTGTATATTAATGAACTACCACATGTAATGCCTGATGCATTTGTATCAGTTTATGCGGATGACTCAACAATGCTATATCGCGATAAAGACATAAATTTTTTACAAGATAAAATAACAAACTCTCTGAAGACCTTCTCTGATTGGTCCAGTAATCAGTCGCTCCTGTTCAATGTTCACAAAACTAAATTTTTATCATTTACATCACGTTCAAATTCAACCAAACCTGATTTAAGTATTTCCATCAATGGTGAGGATATTTTGAGTTGTAGTGATGTGAAGTTTTTAGGAGTGACTTTCGACTCTCATTTATCTTTTAAGACTCATTGTTGGAATGTATGTAAAAAACTCAATTCTAAATGTTATCAATTGAGAAATTTGGGTAGAACACTTAGTCTGCAACACCTTCGTCTTTTTTATTTTGCTGAGGTACAATCGACAATAAGTTACGGTATAACTGTTTGGGGTGGTTCTTCTAGTGTAAAGGACGTTTTCAAGGCCCAAAAACGTATTGTCAGATGTATAGCAGGTGTTCCGTATGGTTGGTCTTGTAGAAACCTATTTAGAGATTTGAATATATTAACAGTGTATGGAATTTACATTTTGGAATTATTGATACTAATTCATAAAAATAAAAGAACTTTTTTATGTAACAGTGATATTCACTCACACAACACAAGAAATAAGAGACAGTTTGTAGTACCCTATCGACATTTAGAAATAAGCAGGAAGTCATCTACTATCTGTGGTTTACAACTGTATAATCAACTTCCTCAAAATTTTAAAAACATTAATTCAACTACAGCTTTTAAAAACCAAGTCAAAGAGTACCTAGTGACCATGTGTCCTTATACATTAGGTGAATATTACGAGGGTGTATCTGTCAATGCCTAAGCTGCAACATAACCAAATTTATTAATATTTTAATTATATGTATATATATTGTACGTTTTTTAAGTATTTTAATGTCTTAAATATTTTTAATGTATTGTTTTCATTTTTTGTAATATTTAATATTTATAATTTTAGTTTTGACTTGCTGTAAACCTAGTTGTAACTTACAGTCAAATAAACTATCTATCTATCTATCTATCTATAGTCATCGAACTGGACTCCAAATGGCTCCCGAGGAAGCAGTGCATTTCGATGATAAGTCAGCAGCCGGTAGCGAGACTATAGCGCCTCACGCTGTCCCGCATATTTCAGGGAAAGTATCATGTGAAGTCAGTTTAGAACTGGGACAAAGAATGTTTAAGAGCTATATGTGGTCTATACTTTTATAAGGAGCAGAAATGTGGACACTACCATCAAGCATGAACAGAATTGATGCATTGGAAATGTGGATCCATAGATGGATGCTAAATATACCATGGACAGCAAGAAAAACTAAAGAGGAAGTACTAAGGGGGGTCAACAAAGATAGAGTATTTCTAGACACCGGAAAATATCGTATCTGGGACATATAGTGAGGGTAAATCAATATAGAATACTACGAGTACAACTGGTCCTTAAAGGCAAAATAGTAGGCCCTAGAGGTATAGGGGCACATTGTGAGAGGTGAAAAGTACGAACTTTTAAGAAACATCATGCAGGGCAAAATTAAGGGCAAAAGAAGTGTGGGAAGAAGAAAAATATCGTGGCTTCGTAATCTACGTGAATGGTTCGGGTGTAGTTCGATTGAACTTTTCAGGCGCGCTGCTAACAAAGTCGCAGTGGCCATGATGATTTCCAATCTCCGCTAGGAGTGGCACGAGAAGAAGAGAAGAAGAGGTATAGGGGGACGAGTACAGTCAACAGTACGGACTAAACATTAATACCCACAAAACGAAACAAATGATTATCAGCAAGGAGAATATAAACGGGGCTCATCTATACATTAATGGGACGCAGATAGAGCGAGTAAAACAGTATTGCTACCTGGGAACTATTATAAACGAACAGTGGAGCAATGTACAGGAAATAAAGTGCCGCATAGGATAGGCAAGAACGGTCTTTAACAAAATGAGCGCCATCTTCAAAAGTCACAACATATCCGTAGATACAAAAATGAGACATTTGAGATGCTATGTTTTCTCTGTGTTGTTGTACGGGGCGGAGGCATGGATGCTTACAGACACCACTATTAAAAAACTTGAAGCATTTGAGATGTGGCTTTATAGAAGAATGCTGAGAATATATTGGACAGCAAGGATCACGAACAAGGAAGTTCTAGGAAAAATGAAGAAGGAACCAGAGGTTGTGTTTACGATCAAACGCATAAGATTGCAATATCTGGGACACGTTATGAGAAATCAGCACCGTTACTCCCTGCTGCAGTCTATATTGCAAGGTAAAGTCAAAGGTAAGCAAGGACCCGGTAGAAGGAGAATATCATGGCTGCGGAATTTAAGAACATGGTTTAAGAAAACCTCAACGGAGCTATTTCGAGCCGCAGCGAGCAAGGTTATAATTGCCAATATGATTTCCAACATCCGAAACGGATAGGAACCAGAAGAAGAAGAAGAAGAGGAATAGGAAGAAAAAAAATTCTTGAATGGATTCAGATTTTAAATGTAGGACAATTACTCCTTGTGGCAGAGGATTAAGAAGCCTTCACAATGGTGATCGCCAACGTTGGATAATTTTGTAAAGGCACATAAATGAGAAGATCATGTGAGGCTCCACCTCATCCCATGCAGGAGCATTGGGATGAGGTGGAGTAATCCTTGATTTAAACGGATAAATCTTCCTTACCCTGATGAATTGTTGGATTAATTTCTATTGCCTGCTTGCTATAATAATGAACTTACTCGGTGGTTGAATACTGAAAGCATTTTAAATTATTTTAAATATTTTAGGTATCGTCTTAGAGCAAGCTCTTGTCCAGACATCTACAGAAATTCCATGACAACCATCGCCAAGGAAAAAGGCGTTTGGTACGCCGGTTTCTGGGACTTTTGGGATCTAATTGTTGACATGTTTGATTTTTCGTATTTTGCCGATCCCAAATTTTGTATTTTTGCCATATCAAATTTTCTGCTTTATACATGGTACGATGTTCCGTATGTGTATCTTACGGATAATGCGAGAAAAAATGGATATTCCGAAAAAGATGCGTCCATGCTCATATCTATTATCGGAATTATTAATATGATAGGGGAGGTAAGTTTACATTTCCAAATCGAGTATAGCATACTATATAAAGAAAAATTTGCATGAAAATATGTCTCAATAAAAAGGATTTAATAAATAAATTTTTTTTTAGATCATATTGGGATGGGCAGGAGATAGGCGATGGGCCAACGCAAACTTAATCTATGCATTATGCATGGTTCTTTGTGGCGGCGTTATCGCGCTTGTTCCAGTGATAACAAATTATCCAATGCTTTTAGCAATTTCAGGAGCATTTGGCTTTTTTATAGCAGCCAATTATTCGTTAACCTGCATCATATTGGTGGAATTAATTACGTTAGATAGATTTACGAATGCTTATGGATTGCTGTTGTTGGTCCAAGGTGTGGCGAATTTACTAGGACCACCGCTGGCAGGTAAGAAAAATGGTATACAAACTTATAGATAATGAGATATTGGATGCCACTGGTCTCAGATGTAATCATAAAATCTAAATTGTTACCTAAGAGGTGCCAATTTAAATGTTCTTTAGATATACTTCTTCTTTTGGTGCCTATTCGTTTCGAATATTGCCGATCATTCTGGCTAGAATTATTTTATTAACTGATGCTTTAAATATATTAGTAGTTGTTGTACTTTGCCTTGAAGAATTATTTACAGTAATCTGTATTTATTGTTTTCTCATTATATGTCACAGATATTCGAACTTTCTCCTTTTAATGCTATACATCATCTTTCCATTTAAAAGTTTTTCCTTCTTTCTTCTATCAGCTGCAGAATCTCTGTCGTCATCCATGTCTTATTCTTACCTTCTTCGGTCTGCATAAAATTGTCTTTAATGTCGTCTATCGTTTTATTAATGGATTATATCTTCTCGTCTGTGCTTTCCATTGTATTATCGATTTCTGTGATAATACTTTTCTAATAATACACTGATTTTCTAGTTGTTTTAATCTTTCTTTTAATTTCTTATGTAAAGCTTAAGAAACCTTACGAACTGGTTGAAAGAGAAACAGTCTTTGAAAGTTAAATATTTAAACGTGTTTATAGCTTCACATACCTTATCTTGTTGGTGACTACTACCAACAAAACAAGCGAGGAAATGAAAAGACGAATAAACCTTACAAATAGGGCATAGGGGAAGAGTGTACAAAATGACAAACATTTTTAAAAAACCAAAAATTTTACTTCATTTTTTTAAACAAAACTTGGATATAACATAAAGTAAAGAATTTGAAACACTTCAGATACGTTTTTAACAAAGTAGGAGAAAATATAAAGTTTTAGCCAAACATATAAACATGAACAAGAAAAGTTCATTTTACCCCACCTGGCGGAAAAAATGACACATTAATACCGATTGATATTCTGCAGTCGGTACAAAGCTCTCAAAACAAACATTTTTGTGTTCTTGTCTAGTCCGGCACACGAACAACTGCATAGCTATATCTCACCTTTTTTAGACAACTTAGTTCTGTACAGTAAATTCAAGCAGCATCATCATTTTCTTCATCAGCAAAAAATGTTCTCTTCCGTTTTCCAACTCGCATTCTATAAAAATATTCCTTTTTACCGCTCTTTTTATTTTTGGGAGATCTTTGCTTTCGGTTTGCTTTTTTTTTGCCTCCACTAAATTTGGAGTGGAGTTAAGAATACAAGTGCCTTGACGTTTCCTTGCCTTTCTTTTTCCCTGGCCGGAAGCAAATGGTCTGACTGAAACTGGACTTAAATCTGCTAGAGTAACACTAGTAAAATGCCACTTGTTGGATTTTCAAATTGAACTGAGCTGTCATCACATTAGGGGCTTCTATGGTAGAAAAGGAAGGTCCAGGTTCTTCATTATTATCATAAACGTTTACACAGGTTTGACACTATCTACTACAATATTTGTAGTTTTAGACGATTGAAACATGTAGTCGGTGAATACATCGAGGTTTAATGGATAGATACTAGTTTTGGAAAATCCATGAGCAGCATTCTGGACATTAGTTACTTTTACATAGGCTTCATTTAACAGACCACCAATTTGGAACTGAATCACAACTTGATCAGGATGAGCTTGAGTTATGATGAGTTATTTGGTTATTTCGGGTCATAATAGGTTTTGAGTGAACCAAAGAATGCTACATCGAGAGGTTGCATCGAATATGTACAGTGAGCCGGCAAATATAAAAGTACAATGCCATTTTCTTTGGCGTGCAGAAGAACGTCAAGATATTTATGAATTGAATGTCCATCCACAATTAACAAAACCTTCTAGGTGGAAGATGCCTTGGCATATTTTTGGAAATGCTGCAACCATTGTAATAACACTGGACCCGTCATCCAGCCAGTCTCCTGGGGAATACATAAAGTTCCTACTGGTGTATGGTCAGCTAATTCCTTTTTCATATTTTTTCATGGGAATATTAGAGTAGGTGGAATATAGCTTCCGTTAGTGCACATACAACAAACAACTGTCACGTGGGAACCTTGTTCAGCGCTGGTAATTGCACATATTTGTTTGCAACCGGCTGTAGCAAACCATTTCTGCAGGAGTTGTACGCGCTTTTGCTGGAGGTGTGACTTCGGGTTTAAGCAGTGTTATGTCTGAATTTCTTCTGCGAAATTCTCTTAACCAATCTTTTCCAGCGGCCTTTTTCTGGTTATTAAAATGACGCTCAAACCCATTTTTGACTGCTAAATTATAAGCTAACTCTAATAAGTCCCGTCTCGATAGTCCAAAGAACGTTGACTCTAGCATTTTTAAATAATCAAGGAACTGTCTTTCTATTTATATGGGAAAAGTAGGTTTAAACCTGCCTAATCGTTTTCGCCTGTTTTTAAATTTTATCTTTTTGCAAGCATGCCTTCTTAGGGTTGCTTAAGGTATATTGAAAATATTTGATGCATTGAGCCATCCCATTTCACCCCTATTAGCAGCTTCTATTGCCTTTACCATAGAATCTACCATATGTCATTTTACCCCACTTGAACTTAATTTAAAGAAATACAATTTTTGACAAAACAATAACTTATTTACTAAATTTGAAATAGGAAAACAATAAAACAATAAAATCCACAAGGAAATTAATTCCTGCAGCTGGCTGTATACCACGTATCACAAAAAGAGGTTAGATCTTTGTAAATGGGTATATTTAAAAACCCTTAAAAGGGGTACATCAATTACACGAACGTTTTCGGAATAAAAATTCCATCATCAGGTTTAAAATGCAAATTGACATGCCTGAACCACCAAAATATCAGGGTAAAACCCTTTAAATTACATATGTTTACTAAAGATTGTACATAATGTTGTTAATCACATTTGATGTTTAATATTAAATTAAATTTGACTTCAGGTAACATACACCCATGTTTAACATCCAAATTAGAACTAAAATTATTATATGCAAAACACTGCTGAGGCCGGTCCTCATATATACTCAGAAGCAAGGATTTTAACGCAGAAGGATGAAATATTTTTGAGAATTTCGAGTGTAAAATACTCTGGCAAAATATTGTCAGCTATAAAGGACCAAGGGCAATGGCGCAAAAGATACAACTTCGAATTATAGCAACTCTTTAATGAACCAGACGTTCTAAAGTTCATTAAAACGGAGCGACTTAGATGGGCTGGACACGTAATACGAATGCCAGACAACAGGATTCCTTAAAAGCTGACCGATTTATATCATCAACTTTAACATCATTTAAAGGGTTTTTACCCACATAGTATTTTCACTCATGTACACCTGCTAAATGCACTGATGATGGACTTGTTAGTTCCAAAACGTTCTGTGTGATATTTATTTATTAATATTTTATGTATTTCATAATAAGTATGTTATAATTAAAATATGTTTGTTTTTCTTTACAGGTTGGATATACGATGTGACCGGTACATACAGTTTGTCCTTTTACCTGGCAGGAATTTTCATAGCAATATCTGGTCTCATGTTGGTTATAATACCCATAGTTAATAGGTGTAAAAAATGTATGCGCAAAGACGAGGAATCGTTAAAACCCTCAGTAGATTGTGATGTTCCCTGTGAACCAAAACATAGGAATTAATTATTGTATAAAATTAAACTGTAGGAATATTAATAACATTTTAAATAACGTCCACAAGTGAACTTAAAATTAATACATTTTTTAAATAATTACTTTATTTATTTCATGTACGTTTTTAGATGTATTCAAATATCTCATTCCTCGACAAAAACCTTATGTGCCATGTCCGATAAGGACCATGCTTTTAGAAGAAGTTAGTAGCTATTTAATAACGTGACAAACGGGTTTTAACTTAAGTGTTTGTTATATCAATATTTAAATTTAATAATCCTTTTTTTAATGTACTTTAGTTAAATTTCTATTCTTTTCTTAACCAATCTCCTATTTCATCTTCTTCTTTTGGTGCCTATCCTCTGTGGATGTTGGCAATCGTGTTGGTCCATACAACTTTTTTGACAGCTACTCTAAATAGATGTATAGTAGTCATTCCTGTCCACTGTCTAATTTTCTTCAACCACGATGTTCTTCTGCGCCCTTGAGAATTTTTGCCTTCTATCTTGCCTTGTAAAATTAGTTGAATCTTCCTGAGGCGATTGAAGACAGCTCTCGCCTTTTTTATACGACATTTTCTGTGAGTGATCCCATTCCTTATTTAGGCTGCATCCATGATATGTAATTTTGTCGACTTATCTCAAGGGTTCATTATTAGCTGTGAATTGGTGCTATATTACGTCGTTTTTAATTACTACAAGAATTTTGGTTTTCTTACAGTTTAATTTCATGCCGTAACTGTCACAGGCTTCCACTACAAGGTCTATTAATGTTTGCAGATCCTCCGTATTAACAGCAATCAAAACCGTATCGTCCGCATATCTTAAATTGTTTATGATTTCACCACTGATTTGTATACCTTCTTTTAAACCATCAATAGCTTCCCTGAACAGCATTTCCGAGTAAGTATTGAACAACGTCGGTGACAGAATGCAGCCTGACATACTCCCCGTTTTATCGTTTATCGTGAATTCTTGTGAGGTTTCGTTGTCTACTCGTAAAGTTGCCCTTTGCTGTAAGTATACATTTTTAATTAGGCGTAAATCTTTATCATCATTACTAGATTATTTCAGTATCTGTAATAATTTTTGATGTTGTACCTTGTCAAATGCCTTTTCAAAGTCTATAAAACATACGTCATCATCATCATCAGTGGTGCTACAGCTCTAGTTGAGCCTTGATCTTCCTCATTCTATTTCGCCAGTCGTTTCTGTTCATCGCCAACCGTTGCCAATTTGCCGCGCCGATTTTCCTTGCGTCCTCGTCCACACCGTCCCTCCATCTCAGTCGTGGTCTGCCTCTACTCCTATTTCCCACTGGGACCGATAATAGAGTTCGTCTGGGTGGGTAATTTTCATTTGCTCTTGACACATGTCCAGCCCATCTAAGCCTGCCTATTTTTATGAAGGATATTACATCTCGACCATTTACTATTTTTTTATACTTCTCGTACAATTCGAAATTATATCGCCTTCTCGAAATACCATTCTCAAGACAATTGTATGCTTTTTTTTATTTCGGCTATTTGGTTTTCTTTGCCGAGTGGTCTACATTTTCAAGACTGACGTTGTCAATAACAACATTAGTTTGTAAATTACTCAATATTTTTGTTTTCTGTAGGTTCATTTTAAAACCTATTTTATTTGACTGCTGACTTGCTTTATGCTTTAATTTAATTCCTTGTCGTCCTTTAATTAAATACTATGTCGTCCGCAAACCTCAAATGATTCAAAGTACACCATCAATGTTTAGACCTTTTTTCTCCCAGTCGAGCTGTTTGAATACATTTTCCAATGCTAATGTAAAAAGCTATGGTGAAATCGTATCACCTTGTCTAATACTTTTATCAAGACGCATTTTTTTCCGTTTTTTCGTCTTCAATAATTTTGATGTGGAACGTGGTCTGTTCATAAATGTTTTTAATAAGTGTAGTGTACCGTGAGTCTATTCGAGCATTCCTCAGGGCTGAAAAAAGGACCAAATTTCAATACTATCGGAAGCCTTGTGAAAGTCAATAAATGCCATATGTAGAGGTAGATTATATTCTGTGGTTCTATTTATTATATTCTACCAGTGTTCTGATGGTATGTAAGTGATCGTTAGTACCAAACTCTTTTCTAAATCCCGCCTGTTCAACCGGTTAATATAAATTAAGTTTTTGTGTTATGCTTTTGGTTATTATTCTTATTAGCAATTTGTATAAGTGTGACAACAAATTTATATGTCTGTAGTTTTCAATATTAGTAGTGTCTCCTTTCTTGTGTAAAAGTATTATTTCGGCGTTTACCCACAGACTGGCCATTCTTTTTTCTGTTAGACACTTATTCAACAAAACTTCCACAACCTCTACAACGATGTTGCCACCCATTTTTAACATTTCAGACATCATACGATCCTCACCAGGAGCTTTTTTATTTTTCATTTTCTGTAAGGCATGTGTAATTTCCGAAGAAGTTATTTTAGGAAGAATTTCCAAGTCGACGTTTAGAATTGTTCTATGGTCTGTTCCGGGGTTCTGTGTAGTAGATAGATATATACAGATTCTCATAGAACGTTTGTATTTCCTTGATTATTTGAGTTTTTTCCGTCACCATATTTCCTCAGCAAAGAAAAAACTATTCTGCTTAAACACATTCTACTTCTGGAGTAATACCTCTAAACCAGTTTTGAATAATGGCTTTTATCAGTTCTCTCTTGTTACTTGGATTTCGGCGTGACACTAACACAACTAACACTCAGCCTTGAACACAAATTTTCTGTTGGATTTAGATCGGGACTATTTCCAGGCCAAGTGAGGACAAGAACGTCATGGTTTCTCAACCATTCCATGGAAGTCTTAGTCGTATGACAAGGCGCTCCATCCTGCTGGAAGATGCATTGTCGGGCATCCCCTTCAAACAAATCTCTGATAGTCGGCAGCAGTTTGGCTTGCAGTATCTCTTTCTGATATTTTTTTTGACATTCATATTCCCTTTTGTTACTGCTAAACGTGAGATATCGATATTTTTTACGTCAATTTGATATAAATTTTTCAACACTTTTCTAAAAATAGTAAAGGTGGTTTGCTGTTAAATTTGAAATTCCAAAAGAGCTTTACTCTTGGTCTACATATTTTACTTAGAATTCCAGTAATCAGGCAATGACTACTATCCAAGGTTCCAGTAAGCCGCAAATTGAGAAAAATTTTCAATTTACTTACCGTCCACATTTAGTGCGTCATTTGTGTTTATACATTGATGTACTACACAATTGTTTAATACTTTAGTTGTTATTATTTTAAAAGGTACAAATTGAAAACTTCGTTAAAACTGAGCGAACTAAATTAAAAAACTGGTTAAAAAAATGAATTTTTAAAAACAAATATTTAGTTTTAATAACAAGTTTTCTTTGAATATTTGTTTTTAAAAATAAAGTATATCAATTTAGATAGTTTTTCGTATTTATAGGTTTATTTGGAAACTTTTTCAATCCCCACCGACTCCTGTGACGTCACGAACTTGATGATAAATTAAGAAAACTTACCTTAAAAACTAATTTAAATTATTGCATAGCTTCAATTACATTTTGTTTCAATTCCAATAATTTAATATAATTAATCACTTTTAATAAACAAAAATACATTTGTAAACTTGTGGGATCCCTGAAAGTAGTAGAATCCTATTTTTTATAACATAGATAGATAACGTTTTTTTATTCCTTTGCACAATTTAGGTGTATTTTGTAAATAATATTTTAAATCGTAAATGCCATTCATTAGGAATTAGCAATTTAAGAGTTCGAAATACCGTTTTTTAGATTTAGTAATTAAGGAACATTTAGCATTCGGCAGGACAAATTGGTTCTCTGTTATAATACATATGAAGAAAAATTTAAATGTAGATATAGTTTTGTTAAAAATCTTAATCTTTTGTTTTTTTCTTAAAAGAATCATTCCTTCCGGGTACAATCAGAGATCAAGTGAAATATTGTGTTTATTTAAAATAAAGTGCTTATTTGCCAAAATTTGCCGAAACGTTTTAGTTTCATTTACATCAGTACGACAATGTAGAAGAATGGTGGAGCTCGAATTGAACAGAACTACAGTCGTATTACAGTTATGTTAAAATGATGAAATTACGAAAGACAAAAAAGTTAAAAAGTTTTAAATAAAAATGTCCAATACCCCTTCCCAAACCAGCTTTCTTCAAACCCAAAAAATTGTTATTTTTCATCGTTACATGCTAAAGGTTCTTTTGACACAAAGGTATGCGTTTATCACTTTTTTTCCATTAATTAAAAGAGAATGTTCAAAAAACGCATTAGTCCCGTAACGTGATTTGATTTGAGGCTGAGATTTCTTGCGCCAACGACATTATTAGGTGCAGCCCAAGCCAGTTCAGTCGGATTGAGATCCGGATGGTACATTTTGGAAATGTACCATGTAGCAAAGAAATATTTAAATACTTGACAACATGGCAGGGAATTTAACGTTAGGAGCTCGACCTCTTCCGCTTGTCATACTGTACTGACAGTTAATAGTATTCCTCTACTCTTCAAACATTTGCCCAACCGAATGCTTATATACTAAGATAAATCGTTTATGAATAAAATTCCTGTGATTCTTCCTACATAGATGACTATTTTATATTATTTGATCAATTATTAGTAATATTTAATACGGGTAGTTAGAATTTTACATTTTAAGCTTCAAAGTTGAGATTTAATAATAGTACAACACAATTATACTTTATATTGATAAAGTTAACAAAAGTTTTAATCTTAGAATATTACATTCCTGTCAATAAATGATTTTACTATTAAATTGTTAAATTATTTTGTGTATTTATTTGTGTGTAAATTTTCAAAAATCGCTAAATAAGTTACTACCTAAATCTATGTAGCACATAAATTAGGATACGGCAGCAGTTACTGTTATGAAAAAGTAGTTAAAATAAACTCAACATTACAAATAAAATAGAAACTGAATCGATCAGCGACAAAAAAACTGCTCAATGAACTTGATAGATGTA